CTCTCTCTGTCTCTCAAAAATAAATAAATATTAAAAAAATTTAAAAAAATAAAATATCTGCAACAAAATATTTATTCTGTAATTGAACTTGTTAAACTTACTTCTGCTTTGAAGTTCAACTGCGAGTTGTCTTTCAAGGTTTTCTCTAATTTCTCTCTCTCTATAGAGCTCCATTCGTAGTTCCTTTTTTTCTTGTTGAATCTGCTTCTCCTGGATGTGAGCATTATCCAAAGCCACTTTCAGTAGGCCCTGTCAAAGTACAGAAAATGACATGCAGTTCATCTTATCTGTTTTAGTTTCTCAAATATGAAATAATTTATGTAGATGCTAATGTCTTGTATTACATTTATTTTGTTTATAGAAATATTGTTGACCTGAATGTTGGTCAACAGAGTCTCCACAGAGGACAAACTATCAGCAAAAATGAATTGTCCAGGGAATCCAGGAGGTAATGTCTGTCCAGGAGTCAACTGGATCTTGTCCAAGGGTGACTTGATCATTGGAATTTGAAATGGTACCTCTTCTGCAAAACAAAAACAAAAACAAAGACAAACAAACAAACAAAAACCCCAAAATTATTATCGGAAGGTTCATGAATTAACAGCTAAAAATGTTCTGTTTCCTTTACTTCTAATAACATCTTATAAAGATTTTCTTTCTAAAACTAAATGATGGCAAACTCATAATAGGAAGTCATATGTATTGAGAAACCAGCTGCCTGTAGTTTCTCAAAATAAATGTTTCAGTAAATAATCAGTGCAAATGAAGCAACATTTACTGCCAAAGAGGCATGAGACTTGGAGAAAAATTATGATATGTTTATGAATGCTTATAAATTAAATAATAAGATCCTTCTTGTAATGCATACACTGCTTTTTTTTTCATTTTCAAGTCTATTATCTCCATTCTTTAATAGCCGTACTGAAGTTTAATTTCCATACAATAAAATTCACCTATTTTAAGTGCACCCACTTCAAAGATTTTTAGTAAATTTACAGAGTTGTGGGACCATAATCACAAATCTATTTAGAACATCTTGATCACCCCCAAAATATCCTTCGTGCCCATTTACAGTTAATATACTTTCCCATCCTCATCCCCTGGCAACAACTAATCTACTTTCTGCCTCTATAGGATTGCCTCTTCTGGATATTTTCCAAATAGAATTATATAATATGTAGTCATTTTGTCTGGCTTCTTTTATCATTATTTTTTCGAGGTTCATTCATGTAGTAGCATGTATCAGTGGTTTCTTCCTTTTTATTGCTGGAAAGTATTCCCTTACATGGATATATTGACTTTTGTTTAATTATTCACTAGTTGACATGCTTTTGGATTATTTCCAGTGTTACCTTTTATTTTGAAGAATATTACTTATGAAAAAATATCAGTTGTGGTGTGAAAACACAAATTATATCTTTTCTCCTTATTTTTATATTATCTTCTCCCACATTATCCTTACTTAATCAAGATTCTCTCTTAGCTTCAGGTAAAGAGACACCAATAGAATTGTTGTTTAATGAGATGTTTTGGTTCTGGTTCCAGTAGGGACTGAAATATAGATTTATTATACAGTTAAATTTCATTTTTCAATTGCAAGAAGCCTATACATGTAGTGTGCAGAGCTTGAACCACACAGATTTCATAGTCATCATGGTTTGCTGATAGTGTGGAGCTTGATGCCAGGCTCGAACTTAGGAACTGTGGGATCATGACCTGAACCAAAATCAAGAGTCCAAGGCTTAACTGACTGAGCCACTCATGTGCCCCACTTCTGGAAATTTTTAATGGGACAGCATTATCTCTGAATAAGATGTTTTTATTAGAGATCACCTTTACATTTTTTTTTACAACTTGTAATGTTCTAAAGTCTACAAGGATAAAAAGCGCTAAGCAATTATTTTATAGAATTAACACTGTCATATTATTTGAATCCAAAAATGTTATAAAAATCATTTTATTGGTTGTAAATAATTCAATAAAATGTATAAACTAGCCTGTTCATTTTCTTCTAATACAAGAAGGTATAATGAGCATATTCAGGTTTTTTTCATAAAACTTAAAAAATAACATTTTTATTATAAATGCATGATTTATGTGTTTTGTACAACTCCCCTGATGTAAAATTAACCCTGACCCTTTTCCTTCCTTCCTTTCTTCCTCCCTCCCTTCCTTCCTTCCTTCCTTCCTTCCTTCCTTCCTTCCTTCTTTCCTTTCCCACTTCCCTCCTTGCCAGTGGAAGTTTTGCTAGAGGTGAAGTATTCCAGAAGGAGTTAGCACATTATCACAAATTCTGTGATCTATTTCAACTACAAGGTTTGAATATTTGAAATATGTCATGAAAAAACAATTCCTAAATATCTTTGGCAGCAGCTCTAATGCTTCTAAAGTACATTTCTGAACACCTAACCAAGGAATATTATGTTTTATTTGTATTGCTTAAAGTCTGTGTTTAGGTAGCATTTTGTCTTCTGCATGTGATTGCATTAAGTGGATAGAATAACTTCATAATGATTTATTGATAATAACTGGTGAGTTTCTATACCTTTGTATTGATGTCTAAAAATCTTAAAGTATGAATTTATGTAGCCTGGAAGATCTATTTTTACAAAATGAACTGCTACACGGTTAGAACATTGACATCCTACTGATTCAGAGATAATATGTTTCCTCTGAATAAATATTTTGTATCAGGGGAAGAGTTATTAAAATTAATGGATTCCTTGTTATGTATCACTCTATGCACATGGAACTTCACTGGTGAGTATCTGAGGGATATTCTACAAACAAGATACCCAAAAAATAAAGCAATATATTCAGTATGCATGAAACAAAATTATAATTACATTAAAATTGCCAGAAGTCTTATATTTGGAGATGAAAGATATGCTATTAAATTGGCTGAAAGGAAAATTACTATTGGCTATGAAGACAGGTTGCATGGTCTATGGTTTGTAATGTTGCTGTACAGTAGATTGAAGTTTCAAAATAGCATTATTCTCCTTTGAAGAGATGGACACAGGGGCGCCTGGGTGGCGCAGTCGGTTAAGCGTCCGACTTCAGCCAGGTCACGATCTCGCTGTCCATGAGTTCGAGCCCCGCGTCAGGCTCTGGGCTGATGGCTCAGAGCCTGGAGCCTGTTTCCGATTCTGTGTCTCCCTCTCTCTCTGCCCCTCCCCCGTTCATGCTCTGTCTCTCTCTGTCCCAAAAATAAATAAACGTTGAAAAAAAAATTAAAAAAAAATAAAGAGATGGACACAGTTGAATTAGGTGTTGCTTGCTGCAGTGAGGATCAAATGCAAAAAGAATCATGTTTCATCAGACCTGGTCAACATCAGGAAAATGAATAGAAATATAACAGGTATGCAGGCAATGATTCATTTTGTTAATCTGGCCCAAGAGAAACACATAGAGACAGCACACAGATCTAAGCTTCTACCAAAAGACAAATAGGACACAGAAGGTAGGAATTGGGATGACAGTGTAGCAGGGATCACATTGATTTTCAGCAGTAGTTTTCACACAGATGAGATAACCCTGGACTCTATTTGGCCCATTGTTCATATCCTACCTGTCCCACAAGCAATAAATTTCCTAGTCCTAGAAAAGGGCAGTAAAGAAGAATGATTCTACTTATGACTTCTTATGATTAAGTTTCTGTGCTAACCAAACATGCTTTTTCAGACCAAGGTCACATTGCATGCTAAGGACCGTAATGGCCAAAAGCTAGTCAAAGTGTATTATGTTTTGCTGTATATTAGTGAAAAGTGTCAAACAATTTGTCATGGTTTTTTCCCATTTAAATCATATATTACAAAAATGTGTAATAAATGCATTGGAAATATATTTCAATCTTGTAATAGGTTTTCACATCTGTATGACATCACCATTTTGCTCAGTTTGAATACATGCACTGTTATGTAGAAATTTATTCAGTAGCCTTGAGAAATCCTAACTGGCAATGAAATTTCATATGGACAAGTACTAGAACCATAGATTGTCAGTTAAATAAGAGCATCTCTTTGTAATCCAGGGAGAAAATGTTTTGACTGAGCACCTTAAAAGGCTTGTGTTCAAATTTTATATATTTAAACCTTTATAAACACACATTATGCAATAGTATAAACTAAAAGATAAAGAAAGGAAAACTGCTACCGAGCTGAGGACATAAGCAACCTCTTCATTTACTGAAGCAAAGTGGAGACCACTTTTATTGAGCCTGTTGGTCAAACTTGCCATACTTTGTAATAGCACTTGGGAATCCATTTGCAGAACCAGCTCTTAACTTTAATTTCTTCCTTAGGGCCCAGATGAATAGATGTAAAAAGTTGACAAGAACTTTATTTGTAGAAAAAAATAAAAACTCACAGTAAATTCTCAGAATGAAAAAGTCCCCCTAAAAAATAAAGTCAAGGTTTCAAGAGACTTTCTATGTGAACATAGTGCTTATTTTCCCACTTTTTCATGGAGTTCAGTGTTTCCTCTTTCCTCTGGACTGAGCATTGTAATACAGGATAATAAAATGAACACCACTGGGGTGCCTAGGTGGCTCAGTCAGTTAAATGGCTGATTTCAGCTCAGGTCATGATCCCGAGGTCTGTGAGTTCAAGCCTCACATCGGGCTCTGTGCTGATCGCTCAGAGCCTGGAGTCTGCTTCAGATTCTGTGTCTCCCTCTCTCTCTGCCCCTCACCTGCTTTCTCTTTGTCTCTGTCTCTGTCTCTCTTTCTCTCAAAAATTATAAACATTAAAAAAATTAATTAAAAAAAAGAAAAGAAACACCACTGACTCACTCAGCAGAGGAAAAATGCCGCCACCTGCCACCAGGTCATCAGTTTTTATTCTTTAACAAATAAATTATAATTCACAATTTCATTTGAGTGCTTTCCCCAAATACATCTATCTCAAGAGACTTTCCTTTGTTGGTGCCAACAGTATTACATTTGGCACAAGCAAGACACCTTCTTCCCTCTTCCAAACTGAAGAACAATAACAATAAAATGACCAACTGCTGTGTAGTGATGTGACTTCCATTAATATAAAGAAGTGTTCTTTATTAAACAGTGTTCTGAGTTGAATTGTGATTCAAATGTTGCCATCATCAAATATGGAAAACTAAATCTTGATCCTCACATTATTATATTTCTTTAGAGTGAAGAAAAAAAGAAATAATGCTGACAAATGAAAACAGAAAACTAGCAGCAAAAAAATGAAGGGTTACCAGGCTGAAAAAGTGAGATACAATACTTCTAAAATTAGTATGGCCCTAGTTTGTTCTGGATCTTTGGATTAACAATTTGGCATAACAGATTCCTATATACATTATGAATTAGAAATAAATCATTTTTCAGATAAAATGTCATGCTAATAATAAATATTGTACACAGTGAGGGGTTGGGACAAGTATGATACCCAGTCCCTGTAATTTAGGAGCTGATACATTTTAAATAAATGTCAACAAGTTATAGAAGTAGTTAATTAAGTGTAAAATCATGTGACATAGGTTGTTAAGGGCCTCTCATGG